ACGATGAAATTGCCACACACAAAATTGATTCGCAAAATTCGAGTTTTCATTGGATTGCCATCAAATTTCAGGGATTGAGAAATAACTATTAAACTTCATTTTACCATGTTACTCGTATTTTATTTACAGTCCATACGCAAATGCCCGCACCTTGGCCTTAACCCCGGCCATAAGATTCTGCACAACCTGTGAATCAACCGTTTTTTGCATGTAAACCCATACTTTCTTCAGTTTTTCGACTGTCTTCACTACCTTAGGTCGTTTAAGCAGGTGCTGCTTCATAATCGCCCAGTACTTCTCGATGGGGCGGAGCTCCGGAGTGTTGGGAGGGTTGAACATTTTCGGCACGAAATTGACCTTATTGTCCGCATACCACTTCAGCACGTCCTTGGAGTAATGGCATGAGGCCAAATCCGGCCAGAAGATTGTTGGGACGTTGTGGGCCTTCAGAAGAGGAAGCAGCCGCTTCTGGAGGCACTCTTTTATGTACACCTGTCCGTTCATCGTGTCCTGGGTCACGAAAGGTGCACTCCGCTTCCCGCACGTGCAGATGGCTTGCCAAACCAGGAATTTCTTCGCAAATTTGGACATCTTCTGAGTGCGGACATGCTCCGGAACGCTGAACTTATCCTTGGCCGTGAAAAACAGGTTGCCGGGGATCTGTTTGAAGTCGGCCTTCACATATGTTTCGTCGTCCATGATGCAGCATTCAACTTTCGTCAGCATGTTGAGGTACAACTTCCTGGCACGGGTTATGGCGGACTTGTTCTGCTTCTCGTCGCGATTAGGGGCATTTTGTACCTTGAACATTCGAAACCCAGCCTTAGTTTTGGCCTTCTGGACAAAACTTCGGCTTAGGTGCAGCTTCTTAGCCACATCCCTAACGGAGGCGTTCGGATTTCGGTTGAAGGCCCCAACTACGCGGTTGTGATTTTTGGTGTTGTACGGAATACTTTTTCCTCCACTTCTGGGCTTCCGATCGGTGGTCAACCGTTCCTCGAACCGCTTAATCACTCGCGACACCGTGGAATTCGCGATTCCCAACGTTTTAGCGATGGAACGATGCGAGAGATCCTTGTTCTCGTGATGAATGCGCAAGATTTTATCACGCACGAGCTGTTCTTTCGACTCCATTTCCGCGAGTTTTGATCACAGGACTTTAAAACTTGCAGGATGTAAATAATGCACTATGAACTAAATCCACCCAAATTTTCATTAAATTCTACCCAACGGTTAAAAAGTTAGAGCAATTTCATAGTGTGGCAATTTCATCGTGGACACCCTTTAGCAGTGGGGAACAAGTATTCCGTCATACTAATGACCTACCCTAGCCTTTATACTTACTGGATACATGAATCCGGAAAGCATGGATTCCGGAAATATAATCCAGGGTGAACGCAATCTGGACAGTGATCGATAGAGTTAACAAGTCGGTGAAAAAATGGAGGGGAAATCGTTATTGCTTCGTGCGCCGTGATAACGATAAACGTAGACGTCTAGAATGCATTCAATAGTGCCAGCTGGGAATCCATAGCCGTCACGTTGCATAGCATTAGGGTTCCTGCCTACCTGTGTAGAATTCTAGAGAGTTACTTCCAACACCGGAACTACTGGTCTACGAGACAGATAAGGGACAGAGTTCGATTATGATCATTCCAGGAGTTCCACAAGACTCCACCTGGTCTAACGTTCTGGAGTGGGATGTACAACGGTGTGCATGCGTTTAAACTGCCAACAAATGTCGAGATCGTTAGCTTGGCTGATGAAACGTGATTACCGTGCAAGCATCATAAGTCGAACAGTGCCTGTACCCGAATTATTCTTTGAATCAGCAGCTACGATCATGATTATCTGCTAGATAAGCTAAGCTCAAATATACAGTTTTATCTGACAATGTTTTATAAACATCAAACTCAAGACCAACAATTGAAATGGCCTTAACTCCATTTTGTAAATAAACCTTGTAAGGCGATTTTCTCGCGAACCGAAACCTTCATTCGCAAACCTAAACCACAATCGGGTAGAGGAGAATTTCCCCTACCTGTCTATTATGTTGATTTGCCTTTGCGGACTTCGGTTCGCGAGAAAATGGCCTTACAAGGTTTGTCTACAAAATGGAGTTAAGGCTATTTCAATTGTTGGTCTTGAACTTTCCAACTTTAGGCACTGTTTAACTTAAGGTGCTTGCACGGTATGTCGTCTGAAGAAATAGGAATGCTAATTCTATAACATTGTCCAGAATGACACTTGACCGAACTTTACTGGGAGTACTACGAAAGGCCGAATCACAAAAGGCCGAATCACAGAATGCCGAATCACAAAAGGCCGAAAACACAAAAGGCCGAAATACACAAAAGGCCGAATCACGAAACGCCGAATCACAAAAGGCCGAAAACACGAAAGGTCGAAAAAGCTCGGGAAAGTGACAAAGTCCACTTTGTCGCTTTCCCGATTCGGGCTTTTGTTAATTTGTTTTTAATAAATCAAATTACATAATTAAAGAAAAGTTACAATAATTATTATTCTGCATCTTCATAAAATGTAATAGAAGCTACTTAATAGCCATTCGATTTCCGTAATAAAAAAAAAAAACTTAAAATTTGGGTAACTTTAGTTTTATGTTTATTTGAGTGTTTAACGACGATTTAATGACAATATGGCTTCGTTTTGTGTGAATGCGGACAATTCAACGAGGTGACTTAGTTGTATGAGCAGAAATGCTTCAGATGCTAAATGGGAGAGAAAGTGATAGTTAGCTTTACTTTTCCAGATGTATGAGTATGCAATGACGATGATGGCTTCGTTCAAGATGAAATTCAATATGGGAGGTATTCTCAAATCGAAAATCGTCATTAGCAGCGATAGTTACACACATTCAACTGCTTGCTACCCAATCAGAATGTTGCGTAAATAAACCGTTCGCCTCTATCGCATCTCTCATTTCCTTGCCGTTCTCTTACCCGCAGCTTACCACTTACTGGTTTTTCCCAAAAAGAAAGAAACGCGTCCCGATAGCAGGTTGTACCCAGCTTCAAAGCTGTAATATATTAAATACGTAAATTATAATGTTGATCGAGTTCAAATAAATTCTTCTTACGATTTCGTGTTCTCCTCTAATCTAACTCGAAACTATCTTCCAAATTTGGAAATTATTTAATTCCGTACAAGTACTTGCTGTGATAATAGTTTAAATAGATAGTTAAGCATTTTAAATTCACATTATATCGTATGTACTTACTATTAAGTTTCTAATTTTAGGCAAAACGTCACCCAGTGCAAAGCTGAAGTAATTGCCACCTATATCAAATTTAGAATAAGTATTTTTTATAGAAAGTAAGATGAACAATAATTTACCTAGTCACTTTGCATTTACTAGATCATAATTTTATCTAATTAGCCTGATTAGAAAATAATTAAGCGTTACCTTTAAGAATTTAACTTTAATTTGCCTTGTTTTTATTCGTTGTTTCACGTTTGTGTTTCTTCTGTGTCAACGATTTTTATGCTGCCTGTTTGAGAGCCACGTCACCCGTTGTACTCTCCCTGACGTTTTCGCTGACAGGTCTTGGGTGATACGGATCTCACCCAGCTACCAAACGAGACCCTGTGGTTCCGTTACAACCTCTATATCTAATTTCACCTTGGCTTCTTTTTTTTTTTGTGAATGCAAACCATTTAACGAGCCGAGTCAGTTGTGCGAGCAGAAAGGCTAACAAATTGTTTGGATGCGGTTTTCAACAAATTCGGTTTTTGATAAATTTTCGGCCTTTCTGGTTTTCGGCCTTTTCGATTTTCGGCCTTTTGAGTTTCGGCCTTTTGTGGGTCCCACTTTACTAGTCCGAATGCCGCTAGCCAGAATCGTTTGAAAATAATCCGATTTTGAGCCCAGTATTTGTAACATTTTAGAAAACGTATACAATTTCTGAACTGTCTGATATTCTGATATTAGATTCTGATTTCCCATGAAGGATTTCTTAAAACATGAGCAGTTCTTTGGTGTTGTATTGTACTGCAAATGAAGTTTTAATTTAAGATTTAAAACATAGACTTTGGGAAAATTTGTGCAATCTAGGATTTGAAAGTCAGTCAGTCTGAATTAAATATTTTAGAGAAGATTCTTCCTTCTTGTAAACATCAGCAGTTTTTTCGCGAACTTTAAAATATTTCTGAATACTAGTAGGTACATATTTGAATGTCTCTCGCAAAATCAAAACCAAAAAAACAATGTATATCAATGAATATTTGAATGCTGGATGAGAAATCAGAATCTAATATTAGACATTTCAGAAATTTAGTGAGTTTTCTACAAAGTTACAAATACAGGGCTCAAAATCAGACTATTTTCAAGCGATTCGGGATTGTGTTACATTCGGGCTAATGTTACATTTGGGCTAATGACGTTCGGGCAAATGTTATAGAATCAAAACTTCATACGCAGTGCAGTAAAACCCTAAGGAACTGTTGATGTTTGAAAGAAGGAAAAATTTCAGATTACTGACATTAGGAAACAGGCATGGCAAGTAATAAAGTTTTTGGGGGTTAAAATAATGCCATTCACGATGCCTCAAAGCTCTACAGCTTTTTGAAAATTTCCTCCTTACTCGGTGGCGTCCCGTACCCTCACTTGTTACCTGTGCACCAACTTTCAAAACCAAATTCAATGCCATAATCATACACGAATCGGTTGAAAAATACACTTAATTTTCTAGTTTACTCGATATCTATCCATTGTAAGAAATATTTTGATAATTGCTTATGTTTTGAGTGCTGGTGCACAGGTAGATTGAGGTTAAGGAGACGCCACTGTCCTTACTATAAAGAAAAATAAACATGCACACTTGATTCAAAATTTCGATTTTGAGAGGTTTCAGCCTTTTGGTACTAAATAGAAAGACAAAAAAATGTCCTTAAGCTGCCTACAAGGCCATCTCTTCAAACGATGTATTATATACATCTCACGCGTCATGGACCTTAAATAACAATCTTCCTACACTCCACAGATGATGACTGGGTTGGAATGTGGTCATCGTTTTTGTACACAATGCTGGCAAGAGTACCTGACCACCAAAATCGTTGAAGAAGGCTTAGGTCAATCGATTGCTTGTGCAGCGCACGGATGTGACATTTTGGTGGACGATGTGACTGTCATGCGGTTGGTGTCGGATCCACGTGTTAAACTGAAGTATCAGCACCTGATAACCAACAGCTTCGTTGAAGTAAGTTTTAAGCATTAGTTAGATTGGTTCTAGTTTCTTATGGTGTTCGATTTTTTTGTGTTATACAGTGCAACCGATTGCTCCGCTGGTGTACGTCGGCCGATTGTAACTTTGCATTAAAAGTGCAGTATGTAGATGCTCGTCCGGTCATTTGCAAATGTAATCACGTTTTCTGCTTCGAATGTGGCGAGAACTGGCACGATCCGGTTCAGTGCCGTCTGCTGAGGAAGTGGATCAAAAAGTGTGACGACGACTCGGAGACATCCAACTGGATCGCGGCTAATACTAAGGAGTGTCCGAAGTGTAACGTAACGATCGAAAAGGATGGTGGTTGCAATCACATGGTAGGTATTTTTGTGTTGTGTTTAAGAAACAAGCTCTGAGATTTATATTCGCTTCGATAGGTTTGCAAAAATCAAAACTGCAAGTACGATTTCTGTTGGGTTTGCCTAGGATCATGGGAACCTCATGGTTCTTCATGGTATAACTGCAATCGTTACGATGAGGATGAGGCTCGTGCTGCTCGTGATGCCCAGGAAAAATTCAGATCATCATTGGCAAGGTATATAGCTGATTTCGATACATATTTCATTCAACGTTGTCCGACGTGTTTTATACTTCGCAGATACTTGCATTATTACAACCGATACATGAATCACATGCAATCGTTGAAATTTGAGCATAAGCTGTATGCGTCGGTTAAAGCAAAGATGGAAGAGATGCAGCAACATAACATGTCGTGGATTGAGGTTTGGTTGACTAATAGTTATTGTTACAGAATAAATTCTAACTTGTGCATATATTTCCAAAAAAAACAGGTCCAATTCCTGAAAAAAGCCGTCGATATCCTCTGCCAGTGTCGTCAAACGCTTATGTGCACCTATGTTTTTGCGTACTACCTGCGGAAGAATAATCAGTCGCTTATTTTTGAGGATAATCAGAAAGATCTGGAAACAGCCACGGAGAAACTGTCCGAGTACTTGGAGCGTGATATTACGTCGGAAAATCTTGCCGACATCAAACAGAAAGTTCAAGATAAATATCGGTAAGTAATTCTACTTTAAACTAATTGAGCCTTCTTCTGATACAATGCTTTCTTATTGTAGGTATTGCGAAAAACGCCGAAAGGTATTGCTAGACCACGTTCACGAAGGCTACGAGAAGGATTGGTGGGACTACACCGATTGATAAAATTTATCTTTAGATATTAGTGGGAGTTTCTTCTGCGTAGGACTCTCGATGTCCGTTGAAATAGGCATAACCAAAATCAGCAAACGAAAGCGAAAGCCAGCAGAAGTCTTAGAAAAATCTAGTAGAAGAAATATTTTGCCGACGAAAAACAGAATAACAAAGATTACCGAGATAAAACTAAACAGTAAAAGAAACAACTGTAAGTATTCTAACTGTGAAGATGTGCTTTTCTTTGCGAATATTCAACTTCAGATGGTATATCAGAAAGAAAAAAAAACGAGATACTAAATATTAGTAAATTCTGAGCAGAATCGTTGTTCTTTACCGTTCTTTTTCATTAATTTTGTTTTTTATGTGTAAATTAAAATCGCTCTGAATTAGTAGCTGAACAGCACACGAGAACCACTTAAAATATTGATTTAATGTCATCAAAACGTAAATGTAGGTATTCTCACTTCTCTAGTTGGACAGGGCAGCTTGAATCGGATGGCAAATTGTGTAGTTTTGAATAGGATCGGAGACGAAAAAGCTCTTTATTTCAATTGAAATTGTTGCCTTCGATTGCACGCGGAAAGTTAAAAATGTATAGTTTAGTATCGCAAGCCAACCAAAATAAGCGATAAGCGTGTGTATGGATCATGTAAGGTATCTTGTGTCTTCGACAGATTTAGCAGTACCTATTCCTGGCAGAAGCGGCAAATGCTCTTAGCTGGCATTTTCGGCAATTTTCTTAAGCAATTTACCACTACCAACACTACTGTGAACATAATTTGATGAAGATGTACGATACCTACACTATTAACCTTTTATAAAAATTAATATTACAATGGATATTGGTTCAAATGTAGTTAATTTTTCTCTTGTTACTGGCGACATGACCGGAGTTGAACAAAGATCTCTGGAATCCTTCTTTACTGTTGAAATGGTATAATTTGAAAGAGCTTTGAATAACTGTCCGTTTTTCTATAAATTCTTGTGGAACATTAGACATTTATGTGTTTAATAGCAGCTATTCGCCAATCAATCAGGGCCACATTATGGAACCAAGTCAAAACGACTTTTTTCATACAAGTATTCATACGAAAAACGATTCCCAATGAAGCCCCACACTTATTCTGCGTGGCGAATGACGTGAGGTGACTCTCTGTCACTAGTGAAGTAAAGTCGTGTGATGTGAGTCTCCGTGCAAATCAAATAGAGAGCCACACCAGGTGACTATTATCAATTCATTAGTGATAAAGATTCGCCTCACTTCACTCGCCCTGTTGAATACGTCCGAATAACTTACAGCAACTATCATGAGTATTCAACCTTCAATGGCACAATGCTTAGAAAAACTGTGTCATTTGTGCCAATTAACAACCTTTCCATGTTATTATAGGTACTTCCTGACTAAGTATTAGGTGACAATCTTCAGTTTCATACCTTCGCTCTTCCTCTCGATTGTCGACTATGGGCTGAAAATCAAAAGTGGCTATGTCCAATGTATTGAGCATAGCCTGTTTTGTTGGCTAGTTTTATCTACTTACTCTATATAAATCCGCTTTCAAGCGTCTTGTATTACTTGCGTTTCAACAACGACTTCAACTTAATGTTGAAAATACATACCAAAAAATTTAACCCGGAAATTAAATTTGTGTAACGGAAGGTTCAATGCGTTGATCGTTCCTATTCATCAACATTCTTTCGGTCACTACAAGGAATAATATAATTTCAATCATTTTTCCTCACCATGATTGTTTTGATCTTGCAATGTAAATGAAGATTATACTTCGTCGGTGATTTGATTATACTACCGGCGGACGCATAATTGTGTCATGTGCTGTGATGTTTCATAAACACATGGGACAATTATGTGTCCACCAACAGTATAACGTATGTTATCATCAGCTTTTTATTCCTATGTGACTGATTTGCTATTGCTACTTTTGTTTTCAATTGGTCTTTTTAACCATCTAAAAACAACAAACTGTGGTAAGCACCAGTTTATTCATCGAGCGTGTTTCAATTGCATTGAGTTGAATAATTTTAGAGCATACGACAATGTTGAAAAAAAAAACAATAGAAGCATAGTAGGATTCTATAGACCACCAACAATGCGCCGAAGGTCATTAGCCCTAATGAACAGAGAGACCGAATGTCACCCTACCCGAATACCTTTTCCCTGACAGTGGTATTGCATTCTTATGACTGCTCTGCTTTTTGCAGATATTCGGGGTAATCCTACACATGCGGGATAATGACGTTCGAGGTAGTATCAACCGGGCTAGGACTAGTACAAACCATATTAGCTAGAACACAATTTGTAGTTTGAATTTTACTCTATCGCTGTGTTTGTGTTATGCTTTTCGAGTAGTTCTCTAGCGCTGCATAATTGTTTCTATATTCTCAATTATTACCTTCCACTATAAAGTCGTTCAATAGGTTTCGTATTTAGTCATCTATAAAATATTGAGCATTTTGCACTAAATTAGACTAAATTAATGTGCTATTTTTTTCGTGCCGTTCATAAAACATATAGGGAACTTTTCTTTTATTGGAGATGATACCGCTTTAAGAAAAGTCAAGAATGGCCAATTCTTATTTTTTCTTAAATGCGTGGAAACATTCTGAGCACTTTTTTTAACACAGGAACTAATACGGTGCAAAATGCGCAATAGATACTACGCTATAACATCTGGCAAATGTCTCTACGATTTGATACTGAATGGCATTTGTTTCCTACACATGCTTTTTTAAACGCTTAAAACGGATTACAGTCGAACAAAATCAATAAAAATCATTGAAAAAGTGATAAAACATTTTAACGAGAAGAACTCTATAAAGATATATATAAAAGTGATGTGAAAGAAGTATATAATAAAAAATGAGTATATAAGAAGCAGTAACCAATTATGTACGGATTATGAAAAGAATATGTTAGCAAGGGTCATTTCTCATTTTTGTTGACTTACAGAGGTTAATAAAAACATTACAAACAAGGTAAATTGCAATGTAAATTCGATCGGATCAATGAGCAGAATAAATAAGAGCTAAATTAAAATGGTTTCTTAGGTCGATACTGTTTTAGCATCATTCCGAAAATTCCTAGAACATGCAGCTTGCGTCAAGATTAGATGGATAAGAAAGATAAGACGGGAAGATATTCGAACCTATTCCCATCTTCGAACGAATCGGATTCCTACGTCATAATTTTTATTTTGTATTACCGTGCGGTACCGAAATCCGTACACCTAAGCACGAGAGAATCATTAACGGTCAATACTAAATAATGCTATCACATTATGCTCTGTATCACATCTTTTTCCTATACATTTATCTTTATTTTCCCATTATTTGCAAACACCAGGTCTTAAAATTACCTTTAATTATTAGAAAAAAGTATTTAAATTACACATATCATGAATCAAAATCCGTACAGCGTTCTACGATTGAATCAAAATCCGTACAATTTTGAATCGAAATTCGTACACTGTGTTGAGGATGAATCAATATCCGTTCATGAATGTGAATCGATCCAAATCAATGAAAAAAAACCCGAATTTATCCACCTATGGTGTGATCAGACCCTTCTTACTTATTCAAGTTTATTTATTTTATTGTCATTATCAGTGACCAAGCCCCCCACCCCCGTGTCATCCAGTGACGCTACGCCACTGCCTGGGGGTACCCGGAATATATCCGGGTGTAGTCTATTTGGTGAGGCTACCAATCACCTTATCATCGTATTTTAATGTGATTTAATGGGTTTTAATTCAATTCATATTCAAGCAACTTCCCCGGGGTACCCGGAACATGTCCAAGTGTGTCCAATGTGGTCTGGAACACTTAACACGACTTGCATTGATCTTATTTTTGAATTCTGTAGTAATTTGATGTGTCGCATGATGGTTTTAATACGTTTTCCGTTAAATCCAGCGTAAAGGCCCATATTCACTGGATCTTATTCCGGCCATATCTCCGGAACCGGTTCACCGATTCCAAAACCGTTCAATAGCGTTCAATGGGACCCCAAGACCTATCATTTGAGGCCGAGTTTGCCCAAATCGGTTGAGCGGTTGCTGAGAAACGTGAGCGCATTCATTTCGTTACATACACACACACACACACAGACATGTTCCGATCTCGTCGAGCTGAGTCGAATGGTATATGACACTCGGCCCTCCGGGCCTCGGATCGATAGTCGGTTTTTCAAGTGATATCTATACCCTTCTTTGTAAGAAGGGTAAAAAACATGTTGCTATCTTAAATAAAGTATTTTTTTAGAAGTTGCTTGGCTAGGAGTCCAAAACAGCTATACTCGTTTAAATACACTAGTTTACAGCATATTTGCACTTTGTACGCTGATGGTCATTTCCCATGTAAAATCGTACGCTGAATCCAAAAATGCAGCCCAAAAAAAAATCTCAGTTGGATAGTTTTGGAGATATAGCTAAAAAATGAAATCTCACTTTAAAAAAAACGTGTTTACTAAAACACAAATATCCCCGGCTGTATTGATGTAATATTAATTATTTTAACGCCAAATTAAACGTGATAAAATTTGATTTCGATCGTTGTCACACTATTTTTCAGTGAGAGTAATGGTAGAACCACTATAAACATTTTTATTTACGTTGCTTAAAAACTTAGCAGAAATTCATTTTTTCTTAGGAAAACTTAAAAAAAAACAAACTAGGTATTAACTAACAACAATACCACAAATCTCACTGACAATTGATGTTCAATTGATCAAATGAAAAATTTCTTACCTCTAATTTAGCGTTAACATAGTTTTCATTACAACCGGAGATATTTATTTTATAGTAAACAAATTTTTTAAAGTGAATTTTAATTTTTTAGCTGGATCTCGAAAACTATCCTACTTAGTTTTTTTTTGACTACGTTGTTGGATTCAGTTCAAGTTCATTTTTTTACTTTTATTTTTTTTAACTAGTGATATCAGCGTTAGAGTAATTGATGCTCCAATCGATTCAAAGGAAAGGTAACTGATTTCTTTTTATTTAAGAAGGTGACTGTTCTGGATTTTTATGCTAACTAATATCATGTTTAAGGATTCATTTCCTCCAAATTTTATTCTATACCAGTGCTTTGGGTTAAATATTCTTACTAGAGTTTACCTCCGATCACAATTTCGAGGTCTCTGAAATTTGACATGTGATAACGTGCAAGATGCGACATACTTTGGAACTTGGGGGTACTCTAGCTCAACGCTACAACACATTATTAACCGGGACTAAACTGGGCGGTGTAGCTTGAACAATGTTGTCGAATCAATAACAACAAACTGAAGAGAAGACTGCCGAAACATCTTTAATATACCGATAATGGAAACGCTCCACCAACCCGCTGGCATCAAGCGATAGAATGAGCGGTTCCTAAGATAGTAGCCCTATAATGGCGGATAAGTGAAAAAAAAAATACAACCATCTTAGAAACCAACAAAAAATACAATCTAGGATTAGTTTTCCGTTTTGTGCATGAAAAATAAAATTGGTAAGTTACCGACTATAACTTAATATAATTTCAAACGTCAAGAGAGTAATAATCATAAAAATGCAGATATTTCATTACTTCTTTTCCGTAGCTTTCTTCTGCTTCTTCTCCATTGCTGCCATTGACTTTTCAAGTTATAATGCTTTCTTGCTTCCAACTTTCTTTCCACTTCTTCCTCCTCTTCCTCTCTCGCTCAACCTTTTTCTTTTGTCGTTCCTTAATCTTTTGTTTCTTAGCGTTCTCTTTATCAATTTTCACCCGCTCTACTTTCATGTATATTTCTGGCCATTCCTCGCTTGTGGCTACTGCTGGGAATGCTCTCTTGCCCATTTCTCTCTGATCTCTGTAATTTGTATATGCGTGTTGGTGATATCCTGTAGGGGAGCTGCGTTGTTTTCCTTTTCGGCTGGTTCTTGACGCTCTTGATTAAAAGATATTAATAATATAACATTTACAATACGAATAAAATAAGAGAGTAGCGATTCAATACGGCATCTCTTATGGTGGTGAATGGAACGGCAAAATCCTTGGATGCTTCTCGGTAAGATTTCCCTGCACGTATCATTGCCACAGTCTTCTCCAAATCCTCCGGCGTGTATTTAGCTTCCATGATCTGCTGAAAAACATTGGATAAAGTAGAATTGTCATTGTTAATGCGCAAGTGTACAGATTTAGAATCAGCTGTTATATATGGATCGAAATCCGTACAGTACTATTTTGATAAATAAATACCATATGAATGATCCATTGCTTAGAATTGAGATATAAAACGATAAACACTTACCTTTCCGATCAACCTTCAGGAAACTGCTTGCAAAAATCACTTAAATACGCTTAACAACTGGAAGTTATTCCGAGAGATTTTCTTAGAAAATCGTTAAGAACTCAACCGATTGACAGAAATGCCCGACATGTGATAAGGTTTTTATTTTTCTTATTTTAATTGCATGACATACTGCTTAATTGTTGACGTAAACATCAAGCTAATGCATGAATGAACATGAATATGTATTCATGTATAATATTTACATTGTTATGATGCATATAAATAAACAAATTCAACAGGGTGTACGAATTTCGGTGTTGTACGGATTTCGGTCCCGCACGGTACATCGAATTCATTCAAAACCGGGAATAAGGGCGATTGTAATTGTTCAATGCAAAAGCAAAATTTCATTATGTCGAAACTAACATTCGTACCGATCCGAGAAAAATAAAGTTTTGGTTTGATGAAAAGTTATTCCTATTTCCAATTAAACACATCTCATAGTGATGGCAATGTTTAACATATTAAGCAGGTTTTAATCATACAAAACAGATCGCTAGCTTTCATGCTAAAAAATACTGGTTTTTTGAGTCAAAAGTTATTATACGTCGTGATAGCAGGAGCATCGATTGACACTGATAGCTCGACTTTGTTTACCTTTGTTACTTTTGACGTAATGAAAATTTGCTCCTGAATGCATATCCTATCCCAATCATCCCAATACACCAAGTCTATACATCAATTGTATGACATTCCCTGGAAGGCTTTCCCCAGAATGCACCATTCCCCAGAAAGAAAGAAAATCTCCGTAATGCACCATTCCCTAGAAATTTTCGGATAAATATTTGTTATCCGTTTATATTGATTTTTGCATAATATTATGGCTTTGTGGGCTCAGAAAACTTTGAAAATTGTGGATGCTTATAGTACGTTCAGACTACAGTTTTAAACGCTGGCCAGACTGAGCAGTTATAACATGTTATAACGGTTGTCAAATAATTGCAACACAGAAACCACCATCAAGATAGCGCTATAACATGTTATAACTCTGTAGTCTGAACGTTCTATGAACGTACTATTACGCATGTCAATCATACAAGGTCTACATTCAAAAAATTGATCACATATCTAATGAATGAAATCCATGTGAATTTCACTTAGCTTTCCTGTGATCACATAGCAGCAAATCCCATCACAAAATCACATGAGACCGATGAAATCCATATGAAAAATCGCATAAGGGCATAAACGCGATGATCGATTCTCTGTCAACACCAATTCGTTAGCTATTCAAGCTCTTTGATTAGATTTTTAAGTCATACTCTTTATTCTCAACATAGGTCGTCAAAAAGTGACTTTAGTGACTAAATTTATCATGTCCGGTTCCGCTACGCAAGAGCGAATGCATACCGAGTATGGTCGGGTCCTGTTTGGCGTCTAACAACGTTGTCTTCTCGGTCGCGGATGACTGTGGCTTTGGTTAGAAGCACGGACTGTAGAAATCTGTAGCAACAAACGCGAGTCGAGTCATTGACAGCTCAACATCGTTTACTTGTAAGCAAATGTTAACCCGATGTGTTCACCCCTAATCATTTTGGCCTATGGTTTTCATTATACAAAAGAAGTGCAGATAACAACGAAAACGACATAATCAGGCATAACATTTGATAACGGCACAAAAGCATTTGTAAACAAACTTTCTAAGGCCCTTTACACGCGAACCAAAGTACGCCCACGCAAACCAATACCACTTCCGGAAAGGTGATAGTTACTCCTAACCG